ACAAAGGCTGACTCGAGCCTGATTGGCGACTTCCCTGCTGGCTTGCGCTCAGGCTATACCTCGGGCGTCCCTGTCGACCCTGTTACCAAAGAGGCTGCTCACAATGCCACCGTGGAGTCGCTTTCGCGCGGCCGGCCAGACGACCAGATTCTCTACAAGGACGATTCTTCGGAAACGAAGCCGGCCAAGAGCACAAACTTCCATCGCAGTCATCGCCAGAGCACCCGCATGGCACTGCAGATCCAGACGGCTGCCGAAACCGTCTTTCTGCGCTACTTCCGCGCAGCACTCGACCCGAACCTACTGGCTGGCGGCAGTCCCTCGTACTGGCCGGCCACAATGGGCACGGCTGCGATGCAGTCCCAGGCCAAGGGCGATGCCAGTGGCCTGGGCTCGCTCAAGCGTATGCTGACGCAAAGCAACAAGGGTGCGTCGGCCGACCGTATGCGCCGCAAGAACACCAAGGGTCTGCAGCTGCGCCCCGACTCGCTGCGTCCGGCATTCAACGATGCCTATCACCAGGGCTACGGTGTCCAGGGCGGGACGGACAAGTCTGCTAAGCGTGATTCGGGCGGTGATAGCAAGTACGATATCATGGGTGGTCTTGCCTCGCCTGACTCGCTGACCCGCTCGCGCGAGCACTTGTCGAAACCCATCGTTGACGACTCGCCTAACCGCTATCTCCAGATGCAGAGCGCACAGCGTCACATCTATTACCATATGCCGTGGCCGCCAGAGATCCTGACTGACATTGAGCAGCGGCTGCTGCACGACGGTGCTGCGCTGGATCCGAATCTGTTTTCGGAAGCCCTGCTGTATGCCTACGATGTGCTGGACACGTACTACTTCCCTATCTTCTTGTCGGATGCCACCTCGCGCAATGTAACCAGGGACCACTGCACGCTGCGCGTGTTCATTGCCTTTATCCTGCTGTGGTTTGGCTTTGCCCTGCCGCTTGCGCTGATTCTACTCGACCATACGCCAAAGGAGGTGCGCATCTGGTGCCTGGTGCCTCAGCTAATCGGGTGGTGGAATATGGCCGTCGGATTTGGTGGCTGCGACATCTTGCTGGCCATCATGCGCAAATACCAGTCGCCGGCGCTAAAACCACAAGAGGTTGATGAGAGCGCCGTGTCCAGCGATGCTTTTGCCGCACATGGCAAAACTAAGTGGTTCGGCGGCAAGCACGTCGGTAGCTGGCGCCGAGCCTGGTTTACCACCCGCATCTCCGTCGATATGACTGCAACGCGAATGGTCCGTGCTAGAAGTGTCCGCTGGTTCATTGGCTCGCTAGTTATGACTGCAGTCAGTACTGCCATTCTGTGTGCAGTGCCGGGCACTCGCATCTACACAAACTAGCTTCACAACCCCACTATGCCTCCCTATCCCTCACCCCCATCCCCTATTCCCTTACGCATTCTCCCTCATTCAATACATCACTTCGCCTTCTATGCTGTAGTATTTGCCTCGATGCCCTCAATCTAAGTATTACTGCACGCTCCGTTCTACGCAGAAGGATCGTTGCTTGTCGATCACCTTTTTGGATTAGTGGTCTCATTGGCTAAGCGGTCCGGACAAAGCATTGCAAATGCATCTATTTTAATACACCCTATGCTCACCACGCTGCAAAGACAGATTCTCGTTAACCAGCTATTTTTACATGCCACGGTGGGCGGTACAAAGGAGTCTGGTATATGGCTGATGTCTGGTTAGTGCTGATTTTCTTGATTTACTCAGATATACATTTTGCTAATCTTGATTTCGACATATTGGGTGGTCCTGGAGCATATAAATGTGGCAAGATAATGGCCAAATCTCCAGTGTTCCTTACACGCAACACACTGCATTCAAGCATTTCCCTCCTCTTCACCCTCGCCTACTCATCTTTCACGAACATGAAAATTTCACTCCTCTCCTTCTTCGCGGTCGCCCTGACCACTCTTCTTTCTTCTGCAGTACATGCCCAAGAACTCGATAGCCTGCAGGCTACATCAACTGGCCTGGTTGCCACTGGGGTCGTCTCTGCTGATCTGTCTCTTGAGACTGACGCCTCTTCATCTGAGGAGCTTTCTGATGACATTGATGATAACATTGATGATGACAGCGATGGCATCGATTCGACTACTGTCAGTAGCCACAATACTGATAACGTAAGCACTAGTGTTCCGACCGAAAGTGCAAGCGCCAGTGTTCCGACCAATAGCAATACTGGTGATAACGGCAACGTCAGTAGTAGGGGTGCTGACAATGGCAACATTAGCAGCATTAGTGTAAACGACGGTACCAGCGGAGATACTGGGAATACTGGTGGAGGAGGAGATAGTGGTGTTGGTGGTGTCGTCTCTGCCGATTTTTCTCTTGAGACTGACGCCTCTTCATCTGAAGAGCTTTCTGATGACACCGATGATGACATTGATGATGACAGCGATGGCATCGATTCGACTACTGCCAGTAGCCGCAACACTGATAATGTAAGCACTAGCGTTCCAACCGAAAGTGCAAGTGCTAGCGTTCCAACCGAAAGTGCAAGTGCTAGCGTTCCGACCGAAAGTGCAAGTGCTAGTATTCCGACCAATAGTGCAAGCGCTAGTATTCCGACCGATAGTGCAAGCGCTAGTATTCCGACCGATAGTGCAAGCGCCAGTGTTCCGACCAATAGCAATACTGGTGATAACGGCAACGTCAGTAGTAGGGGTGCTGACAATGGCAACG